TTCTTCGAGAGAGGTGAACTCCACGATAACAGCAACTATCCACTAAACTAATTGCTGCTTGCCCTCCATAAACACTTCGCTCATTTCGTCTTAAACCTTCATTGACAGAACAGTAGACGAAGTGCAGGCATGTGAGAAAGCATTGTTTCGAAAAGGATTCGCTACAAAGGACAACATCCATACGATAACAAGCCTTATGGAAGTGTCGCTGGAGTGCAAACGACTGTTCTTTCTCAATTACATAGATATAAGGGAAGCTTTTGACTCACTTGAGATCGAAGCAATAATGAAAGAATAAGGACAGCTGCGGCGTCCCTATTGTGTATAAAAGTTTTTCGTGAACTACATAAAAACTTCACAACGAAATTATCGCCGTCCTATAACGATATTAACATCGATGACAAAAGAGGGGTTAAGCAAGGCGAAAGCATCTCGCCAAAATTATTTACCTCCACTCGCAAGAACGCCATGCGAACATTGGAATAGGTCAACATGGGTGTCGAAATCGATAGTCGGCAATTAGATCGATGTCGCTTTGCTGAAGACGTGTTCCTTATAATACCAATCATTTGCCAGGCGAAACAAGTGCTTTCGGACTTTGCTGAAACCTATGGAAAGATTGGTCTTCGAATAAATCTCAAAAAAGCAAATTTCATGTGGGACTGCTTGGTTACGTATCTCCCATTAACAGTCAAAAAAAAGAATATCCTCGACTGCTCCAGCTACATCTATCTATGTCGGGAAATCAATGATGAGGACTTAACTCCAGAGTTGAGCAGAAGGAAACGAGAGGTTTGGGAGCTTTCGAGAGCAACGAAAATGTAGTGAGGAGAGCAAAAAACCCCCGACCCCGTGCCCACCTTTTCGGTTCCACGATTTCTCCTTAATTCCGCCTTAACGTATGCATCGAAAACCTGGTGTTTGTCTAAGCAGGATGGTAAATTACCCCAGCGTTATGGAACGTGCAGCCGAATGGGCGATGGCGGGAGTATCTCTTGTGACACAAGTGAGGAAAGTGAACCGAAGCTTCCACCTAAGCCAGCGATCAAAAGTCAGAGATGCCGTTCTATACGCCAAATAGTCGAAAATAAGGCGGGCCGAAGAGGTAATGCGTATGAACGACAACCGATGGACAAGAGCCGTTTGTGACTGGATTCTTCGAGATGTCGAACGTACTGCGGGAAGATTATCCACACTATGGTCGAAATTCTTCGCGAAGATCCTAGAAGGAAAATAGGACGCTCAACGAGTCTCCAGAAGCAGAACCCGCTCGGCTACTCTTGCGTGAGACAGGGAAAAATGAAAAATATATCGCGCGTACTCGATTCAGTAGGCGACCAACGTGACAACAAGTGAAACCGGTGCTCGCGAGAAGTCCTGGGGCTGAAAACTTTCACCTCATTTTAGAAGAGACCTTGTTTTATCCATCTAGGAGTAAAATGTTGCTACTTCGTCTTACATTTTATCATAGTTCACTTGCCAAATCCATTGATGTTAGCGTATGGAAGTGTTTTACAGCCCATGCTGAGCCTATCTCGGTATATCGGTATGTCAGACCATACCATGCGAAGCACACGAGCTGCCGTAATAAATTAAAATGGAACGACAGTGAGCTACTTCCCAACATCTGACTTTTGTACGTCCTACATACGGAACGATGTCGGTTCTCTAATGACCGCAGGTAATTTTCGGGAACTGTTTTTTGGAGGAATTACGAAGCTAATAACTTGGCATAGTTTTTTTTTGGTCTATTGCTCAACAAAGAAGTAAGAACTTCTCTAAGGTTCTTTTCGCACTTTAAGTTTACAACAAATCTTTTAAAAATTCAACCGTTTTTATTTCAACTGATAAAGTAGGGAGTGAGATATGCTTGTTGAAAGGTAAATCTGCTTCTGGAGCCGGTGTGAAATGAAAGGATCAATCATAAAGTTCAGAAATTGGCAACATTCATGTTTTCAGAATTTCCTAGAGTTTTTGGGAAAGATATCACTGTCATCATTGCTTAATCATTTTTTAGCAATATTCTAGAAAATCCGAATGTATAAGGCGCCCAGTTTTCAGGTCATCGCCATTCTACGTTTCCGAGGTCGATTTCTTCTTTTTGTTCCCACAGGAGCCCTCCCACCCAACTTTACCTGTCTTGGTACCACCGATTTTAGTACTTATAATGAATCTCCTTTTTTATTGTTTTCGATTAACTTTATTGGTCAGTGAAGCAAACATTATGCTCTTGAACCATGTCAGGTGACAAAGGATTCAAGTTCGGCCTCAATGAACTCTTCATTTAGTGTGATAGCGAAGAAACTGAGGATATAGAAGATAACGTGAGGTCTCCGTACTTTCTGCTGAGGATATTGAAGCAAATGGATAGGAAGAAGATGATGAAAGTGCTGATGAAGCCAGTGATGAGTAGTCTCGCAATTTAATGTGTGAGAAACTGTGGACCGCCAATCCTCTAGTGTGCATCGAAAAATCACACTTCGACGTGCAAAACTGAAAGAATTTTGATGGTTTCTACGACTGACATTTAGAAACCTACTGCCTTGTGCCGTTTCGAGGTAGAGTAGCTGTAGACCACAATATTCCACATAAAAGGCTCCAGTGCGGACCCAAATTATTCAAACTCTGCATTCTGCTCAAAAAGTGGCTAGCGCATAGAAATTGGGGGTGTACTGATAACTCAACGCTTCATAACAGATTTTGAGAACACTGCAGTGATGAAAACTATGCACAATTTGTTACGCGAAGAAAGGCGTCTCTACAGCGATTGTTACATGTACATGAGTCTTCGCTTAGCTGATAATTTCGGTGAGGACTCACCTTAGCGGCAGCTATAGGAGAACTAGGATAAGACTTCGAAAGCAAGCACCAAACCGAATGTTGAAGGAAAGACAATGAGTATTCTAACAGAATCGGAACTCTCTAACTCTGTTGAAGTTTGGAGATAATAAAGACATTATGATGTTCGCTACTCTGTCCCAACCATTTCCCTTAACTCGTGAAAACCACAGATGATTGAAAGTAAAATTGTTGTCTGTAGGCTAGAATACACGATATAAGTAAAGATTGTTAATTGCAAGTATACAAGAATAAAAGACAAAGCCCATGCCGTTAAGAAATCCCTGGGCTATACCCCACGCATTCGTCACCATTTACCTCATTTGAAATGATTGGATGCTTTATTTGTCCTATATGGTGACTTACGATGGCCTTTTGCGCCTACGTCAATGTGTCAAGTCAGTACCGCTATCTTCTCAGACAAGTCTGGTAACGATTTGCCGACCTCGGAGGGATGGAAGGCTTGGTGAGCCCCGTGCGGTGGATAGAAATAACAACCATGTGTGTATTGTAGGGCACCTCTGGCCACTGCGTTACCCGTGCCCTAGCTCTATGTAAACGTATTGCCTGCAATATACCTATGTAGAAATTATAACCTGACCTTGCTGAGCTGATCCGAGGTTGGTATAAGTTTTCGTTGATACCAACATCGCATCAGCTCAACAAGATCAAGCAATTTTCTTCGTATTTTTGTTGAGCAAACGCGAGGTGTTATTATTCTTTGTTCATGATTAAGCTGACGTTTCGGCGGATTTCGCCTTCCTCAGAGCCTGGAAAGGTCAAGTTGATAGCAATCTACTCGGCCAGACGCCTCCATAACCAAACAAAGAAACTCTAAACCAAGATTTCAGTCACGTTGAACACAGCTTTGCACACTCACCGCTTTCTATGAGGTTTCCACTAAGTATGTCATGTAGAGACCAACCGCACAGAAATTACATGGAAGTATAATGTGCCCCTCCCATCAGAATGGCAGTCTTATATACTGCCCTATATCACGCGTGATAATGAGGCATTCTTCCCTGCGGTTCATTTTCGGATTTCTGGAATTAATCCAGAGTGCCTCGAGAGTTTTTCGCGCCTGTGTTCTTGATTCGCGTGCGAGGATCGTGACACATACTTCGAAGTCGTCCCCGTTATGTCTCTGGGTCCTATGCGTGCCTAGCGGGGTATTTGGTCTATTTTTGCCGGCTAGGTGTTCTTTCATGATCATAAACGAGGTGTTCATGTGATCAACAAGATCAGTTTATAAGACCATATAAACGAAATATATTAACGATTTACGCCGAGCTTTATAGAAAGTCGGTCTTTTGAATTATGAACAAATTGTAGACCGAAGATAGTAAAACCGTTGTGAAAAAAAATAGGAAGACTTGGTAACTATTTCGAGATACTCCAAACCCCTTCAGCGAAGGAATACTCTTTCAACAGCGAGCCACTCTGAAGAAGTCCACTCAATGAATTCTCGTCTTATCATAGCGGAATGATCTCTCTAATTGTTTAATTTCAGTGATAAAAGTGGAGACATTTCAACCCCTGTTCACTAGCCACAGTCTCGATGGTGTAAACCATCTATAACAGTGATAGCAGTCATCGCAAAATGAACTCATCCAAAAGAAGTTTTTGTATAGCATTAAGTGAAGAGAACAGCTTTCCATATGCCACGCCTGACAAAACATCTATATAGGACGAGCTATCCATATAAAGCAAAAATTGCGATAAAAAAGCCTCAATGGATGGCTGAAGAGGTGTGTGTTCATTTCAGTACTTGGTCTACATTCGTTGACTCAACGCTTATTGAAAACTCACGAAAGAAAACGTAACTTTAATGATCTCAGTTTAGATTTAAGGCCGATATAAATTCAACTACCATACCGTGGTGTTTCTTTTCTTTTCACCTATCACTATATGAACTACAACGACTAGGACTTTTATCCTATAACGCGCACCGAGAAAGTTCATACAGCTGTAACTGATAGAAAAACGAAGACTGTTACGACCTGACCGAGAACAAGTGTTGAAACTATTTTAGTCCTCCGCCGTAGAGTACCAACTATAAAATAGCTTTATCACATCCAAACCACAAATAAAATGCCAGGAATCATTTTGATAAAATCTGTAATGCAAAAACATTGTGCATGCAGTTCAGCTAAACGAAAGCATTATATAGCAAACATTCCAGTGAGGCCAAGCCATGCATGAAATGCTGCAGAAAAGAACACACATAGGTGAAAAGAAGATGGCAAGTAGTAATAATAAACACGACCCGGATTATCCTTTCGCAGAATACTACTGCTCAGTGCGTAAATTACGTAGAAGTCCAACTTTACAACACTTGTCAGCAGAAAGAAACAAAAACCGATGCAGCTAAAAATATCTCAACATGACTTTAATCGGAAAATAGAAGATAGTGAAAAATGAGCATGCATTTTATTTCAAAAATATCTAATATATAAAAAAGAACTGAAGAAACAAAATACAACGGCACAGATTTACAAGGCTGACTTACTCCTGCTACTTTTCACGGAGTTATCATTGTCACTTCTATCTTCTTCATCAACAAAAGAGAGCAGAGCTACATCCATGATACAAAAAGTCGCTCTAAAATGTAGAACATAAGTATTACAATACTTATGATATCATTCTTAAGAACTCCACAGCCGAAGAGCACATTTAAGCTCAAATTCCAACTCCAATTCAGCTCTATCTACAGATGTTCTAATTCAGATCACAAACCTGCAAGTTGGGCATGAACATGTCCCCTCGAGCCAAACATTTGGACGTGACTGGTCCTGCTTAGACAAAAAAATACGAGCCATGCATGAGATGCACCTTAATTGAAACAAACCTGGTTGCGGAAGTTGACAATTAGTAGAAACTAAATTAATTTCTAGTCACACATTGTAATTACACATTTATGACAACAGGTAAAAAGTCTTCCCAACTCACAAGGTCTTAAGGTTTCTGCTGTTCAAGTCACATTTAAAAAAATATACAGATTGCACAATGTACAACCTTCTATCTACTGTCTACTTTTTTCACGGCAGGGTATGACGTGAAATACAACGACTATGATGCCGAGATATTTGCAAGATTGTGACTCCTGGCCAGATACAACCGTGACGACCCTTTGCGGAGCTCACGTATTGCGAACAGCAACACTGAGGGCCTCGCTCTGCTCCTCTCAGCCAATTTTCTATCTATTGGTACCACTAGCAATCATCCGTCAATGGGAATGATCTGGGGGGCATAAGTCGCTACTGAACCTAGTTAAGCAGAGGCTACACTCGAAATCATAATTCATAACTTTTTATCTGCTGCCTTTTTCTTTCATGGCAAGATATTATGTGAAATAAATGCAACTACACAAAATACTTCCAAATACAGTCAAAAGCAAACAACAGTGATACTTTTCCATATGAAAAAAAACCAGAGAAGTCTACAAGTTGCCAAAGTAATTGCAATTTACCACAATGGACGACATTGGCATGGCCTGCAATCGGATCTAGGTCCCTCAAGATCAGCACCTAGCATGATTTCACTGCATCCCATCAACAGCTTTATGTTCGATAAATTCTCTGAGCATCCGAGGCATAGTTCAAGTTCCTGAATACTCGTAACTCTCATTTTGATGGATAAAATTAGATCGCGAAAGCAAAGTAGGTATAGTTTAGAACGATGAACTCTCAAGTACCTCACCTGCCGAACGTAATCATGGTATCTACGATTCTTCCTAGCTTGGTCCAAAAACGCCTGTAAGGTAAAAGCGTAAAAACTGAGGTAATATCGTCAACATGGAAAGTTGAAGGAATATATTTGAGGTAGGCGAACTTTTTATTACCTCAATAAATCTATCAGTCAGCGACATCTTCAACTGGACCTTGGGTGAAAATTCTACACGATTGTTACCTAGTTTCTCTTCCAAATCACGCATAAACACATTGTTAATTCTGAAAAATCAGTTTAGTCGATGTAAATAAAAGATTTATACGAAAAGTAATAGAAAAAAAAAACATTTTGGAGGTTCTAAGCATCCAATAACAGCACCTACTTGAATTCAAAGTTTAAGTGTTCAATGTCAGCAGGTAAAGATACAGCAACTGTAAGATACTGATTCATACCGAGGGTATGGTGGAGCATATTCTAGAAAAACTAATAGCTTCAGGTACAAAGGATGTCAGAAGGATATGAACTGAATAATATTTTACGTTTGAAAAAAAACTGCTTGACAGAAAACCCAATTACCATGGTATCGACAGCATTTACAACACAAAAATGTGCGTCTGTTAACTTGACCACAACGAAATGGAATCGCGAACAGTGAAACATCCAACAATCTGTTATGATTAGTACGCTAACATCTGAAAAACCGAAATTCTGATTAGAAAAGGAAAACAGTACTACCGAGGAAAATTCAAAAAAATCATACTGGAGATAACGTGCCGAAAGGCACCAACTTCACTAAATTCACTTGAGAGGATCGTAAACACCTGCTGAGTATCGTAGCCATAGTTATTTAGTTTTTGCATTGCAGGTAATGCACGAAACCCTGTCATTGTGTGGTAGACCAGGTATGCAACTCCACCTGAAATACAGTTTAAAAGTGAAACACCTACTTTTCTATATCTAATGTTCTAGCAGTTTGACACAGAAAGAATACTAATTCCAAAAAGAAGAAACAACAACATCCACTGTAAGGGAAAACAAGGATGTAAATGAGATGGTTATTTTCAAATGTTAAATGTACGTATATTTTGGAGGCGGTTAGTAAAAGAGGGAACTGAAATGCTCCGTCAATGCAGCATTTAACACAGAACACCTAATTGTAGCCGGATTTTGATGTTACATATGACCCTCAAGGGTATTCTTGGGCCATTAGCTCGTGTAGGTGCGCTTAAATGATTTTTGCTAACGCCTTTAACGCCGCGTCTCTCGCCAATCCACAAAAAGTATTGGAAAGAGCTCATACTTGGCACCCAATCCCACTAAACCGTAACATACTTCTGCATTATGGAAGATCGCTTCCAGTATGCTGTGTCTCACAATATTAGTACACTCAGCTAGGGTTCTCACGTTAACACTATTTCCTATTAGTACACCCATTATATCTTCACAACGGTTAACAGCCTCATCGTGACTGAGAGGTGTTCCTAAAAGCACAACTACAATGTACAGTGGGGCGACTCAACCCCCGGTAAGGTCTCCCAAGTCTGGCGTTTACATCAGGAAGTCCAGATAAGAGAGACAAAAGGTAAGAGAAAACCAATACCAGGATCCACCACTGTCGTGGTATCAAACTAGTCGCATGGTGGCAAACCTGACTCTGATCTGCAGACTTTGACCAGGTTAACTCCGGGACTCGAGGGAAACACAATGGCTAAACTTGCAAAACTCCAAAAAGTGGAGAATCTGCTGGGGTCCGCATCACCAGTTAGGAAGGGTCGTCCAAGTGTCCAAGTAAGCATACTCAGAATGCCACACTAAAGTGCACTCTTTATGAATGCAGAAACTAAGTTTATATTGGCTCAATGTCATCAGAAATGCATGGCTTATTTTCATAACCTCTAGCCGTTTTAAATTTTAAATCCTTTCATACAACTTCAAAAAATAAATCCCTGTACAACTACTCGGCTCCGAAGATTACTTTGCGCAGATCAAATCCAGAAAACAGAAGTAGTTCCTCATAAGGTATGCATTGCTTTGGAATGTGTTTTCAAAAGCGACAATATTCAATTGACGGCAAAAGCTTTCTCTTTCAAAAAGATGGTTCTTCATACTGGAACGAAACCAAAATCCATCCCAAACAAATTTGATCACTTCGAAGCCAGTGATTGTCGAAAATCTTGTAACCACATCTTCCGCAGTTGTTTAAATTTCAGGCGTGAAAATTGTAAACAATAAAATAAAAAAAGGGTAAAGCTCACGGCGTTGATCAATCACTGCGGGATGCGCCATTCATTCGGCTTCATTAAGCATCGTTGGAGATTACTGAATGCATATCTGGCCTTTACAATGGCTCTCTGTGGCCTACCGATATATCGAATCAGTATTGCTATCCTCCCAGACAAGTCTGGTGCCAATTTGCCAACCTCGGAGGGATGGAAGGCTTAGTAAGCCATGGGCGCGGGGAATGATCCCATGTGTATCGCAAACAGGTTCCGACCACTGCGCTACACGCCTCATGGTAAACAAACTAGTTAAGTGCCATAAAAGTGACTGTTTCGGAAATCTGATGATCGAGAACGTGGAGTACTTAGGCGCACAAAGTACGAAACGAACGATGTATTGACACAGGAAAAATGGTCGACAGCCCACGAAAACACAAATTTAGAACAAGAGCTGACTCCAACTTCGGCGTGAGTGAGAAGTCGAGCTGGAGGTCACAAGTTCATTTCAGGAAAACTACTATAGCCAAAACGCTCAAGCAACATGAGCAACAGGAACTAGCAGATCAAGAAATGCACAAAAAATGGTGTAATAGGAAGAATTGACAACAGAATAGTTGCAAGCTCACCTGCCGCAAAAATTGGTGATAAAAGAGCGATATAATGTATGGCTCTTGTTGGATACGAGGTAAACAGCACTGCATGTTCATTGGCAAAATAGAGACTTAGAACTAGTACTGAAAAGAAACGGACTCAGGCTTCCACGGAAAAACGCCGTAAAGCCAACATCACTTCAAACTGAGGAAAGAGTGAACAAAACCTGGAATATGAGACTCACAGTACGGTGATGATGCAACCAAAGTCCGTGTGAGTACTACACGACGGCAATGGAACTCTAGGATGTTCGAAACTGGTGAACCGAGATATCCATATGCCAAACTATCGAACGACAAACCAGCACCTATAATGAACGTCAGTTTGTTATGCACGCTATGACCAAAGGTAAAAAAGGATGAAGCTCTGGGCGCTAACCAATCCTTAAGGGATGCACCATGCATTCGACTTCATTAAGACTCGTTGAAGGTGACTGAATGCATATCTGGCGTTTACAATAACTCGCTGTGGGTTACCGATGTGTCCAGCTAATGCCGCATTCCTCCCAGACAAGTCTGGTGCCAACTTGCTAACCCCGGAGGGTTGGAAGGCTTCGTCGGCCAGGCGCGTGGGAATCGATCCCCTGTGTAATGCACGGCGCCTTCGACCACTGCGTGAAATACGTCCACTATGACTAGAGTAATGGAAGATGGACATTTAACCTGTATGTAAAGTAGTACAATATTCCCAATACTCACCGACGAACGCATCCGGAGGGTAAAGCAATAGGGCCAGCAATATCATGAAAACTAACGAATGAAGGAACACGGCACTGTTGGGTAGAACATATGTGGCTGAAAACTAATAGGATAGAGCGTAACAGTATTTCATCGGCTCTGATAAAGACGAAAACGTCGAAACCTTAGCTGAATAAGAATTATTTACCGAATTCGTGTAAGCTTTCCAAAGAAAAAATAATATGAAAGGATTGGAGAAGCCTTGAAATGGCCAATGTCTAACTAACCTTGTAGTGTATCCCATTCTTCCTGTGTTAGGCCACGGCCGAGGACTTCTTTGCATAAAATAACACTCGAGAAGAAAAGGAAAGATGCACGGGTTGACAACACCATAAGAACCTTCAACACTAACAACTTCATGAACAATAAAAGTGGATAGCATTACAGTGAGGGACAATCGTTGCAGGACCAAATAATTGTCATAAAATTTCCTTTGTACGAGTGCGATTGTGGTTTGTTCTTGCTTTATTGTCTAGAGTTCTTCACGGCCTGTAGACTCTAGGCCGGTCGTAAGCACAGATAGTCAGAGATCTTGGGTTATTTCCAACGTTACGGCTAGGATCCTTCCAGCCGAAATGGGAGTGATTTGTGACTTTGCCTTACTTTGGCCATATTTTTGCTTAGAAATGTCAAATTTTCTGCTTGATTGACACTGGTGGGCGATGAACCTCTCACAGATGTACTAAGATAGATGAAGTGGTGGGTCGTTGGTGTACAGTCTGGTATCTAAAATTTTAGTACATTGATTCTTTGATGCAATAAGGCAAGTTAGAAGTGTTAAAATGTAGGTACTGTGACGGTGTCTTGAAATAATTTCCACTTCACTGCCGATGATTTAGTTTTAACAGACAGTTAAGTCCAACACAGAAGAAGTAACTTCGTTCTTTAAGTCTGACTGCTTTAAAACGAAAACCTGTCCCGTCAACAAATATGTAAACGGTGAAGCGTTTGGCGTTGATGAATACCTAGGCAGTGCACTCAATTCCATTTGTTGGATGGTGGAGTTAATCGGATATATATCTGGACCCTACAATGAATTCCTGTGGCCTGCCAACTTATCTTAGGACGCGTGTGGCGTTGTGGTAGGAGGCGCCCTGCAACACGCGCATGGGACTGATTTCCGTGCCCCTGGCTCACCAAACCGTCAGTCCTTCCCGGGTCAAATTGGTATCGTACTTGTCTGGGAGGGTAAAAGCGCTGGCTCGATATATCGGTAGGCCATCGCGAGTCATTATAAAGGCCAGATATGCATTCATTCACGTCCAAACGATGCTTAGTGAAATCGAATACATGGCGCATCCCTCAGAGATTGATCAATGCTCAGAGCTTTATTCTTTTATTTACTGACTTATTAATTCACATTATTCATCTTTGCAGACAGGTTTGATAGAAAATTGAAGACTCCGAAAGGGTGGCGGCTACGTTGGTCCGAAGGGCAGGATTGAACCAGCAAAATATGTTCATCCATACATTACTATCAGTAACGTGTTTAAAACATTTTGCTAATATTTCACTAGAAGTGTTGATGGAATAAAATTATAAGAGACATTGCCTTTAAGATCGTACAAGCTTCGCAGATTTTATCATTTATTTCGGTTCATTAGTTTATTCAATAGATTGTTCACTCATATTATTGATTGGATTCGGATAACGTAGCTTTCCCTCCGAGTAACTCAGTGCATCATCGTGGATTTCATGTTTGATTTTTCGTCATCACATCATAGGTGATACGAGCTGATTTGCTAATCTCATTTCGGTTTGAGTCATCACTTCCCAGCGGCGCTGAATCAAAATTTCGAAATGGCACAAAGTTTGTATATTAGTGACAATTATAACACTTTACATTTTGTAATAGTTCACAGGATCGACTTTCTATTAACCTCGGCACTGGAATATGCATGTGTCGTTTTCTTGTTCAGCAATCGCGAGGTTTTTAAACAGCATACATTTACTTTCATAAAAACACAATACAATACAACGCTAGCTGACGTTTCGGCAGAATCGCCTTCTTCAGAGCCTGGAAGGGTATACTGATATACAATCTACTAGGCCAAATGCTTCAATAACACTTACAAAAAGACGAAAAGCTCTTTGGTAATTACATGATCAACAACTTCTCGAAAAAACCCACCGCTGTTTATAATAACAGTTATTTGCAAATGTTGTGTTGTGTGTTGGACAACACCCACAACAACAACACCCAAATGTTGTGAACACCCAAACGAACACCCACCTCACAAACACCGAAATGTTTCTAGACGTCTACGTAACACGTCTCCTAATAACGCGTACGTGATGGAGTCCTTCGACGTTACCGCACTGTACACCAGCGTGTCGAATGACTCCGCAATGCAAGCCATCTTCGAACTTCTTGTTGAACATGAAGGAAGAATAAATATGCATGGCTTGTCCATCCAGCAGCTAATGGCTCTCTTGAAGGAGTGCCTAAACTGCTCGATTTTCAGATGGTCTGGGAAATATTTCGCACAAATAAGGGGGTTGGCAATGGGACAGCGATTGGCACCAAGCCTTGCCATTGTGTTTATGTCTAGGATAGAAGCCCCTGTTCTCGATCTCCGGCCACTACGGCTGAGGGGAGATCGAACTAGGGCCTTTGTTTCCCAATCGATGGCATCACCCATTCACCTCGGTATTATCGCTTTTACATTGCCTGTAATAATATTGGTGAATATCGTATTGCTTCTATGTGGTATAATCATCGTAATCACACAGCAATGGAAAATACTCGTTTTTTTTTAGATCTACTAATCTAAAATATGGTTCATCTCATTTCTAACACCTCTACACCAAGAAGAGAATTGTATTGAAAGAAAATTTTGTTTCAACTTATTAGATGCGGATAGAGGAAACCTAAAATGCGCTTAAATCATACCGAAAGGTGGATCTCCATCGTTATCCCAGCAATTTTACACGATTTCCAGCGGATATTTCTAGAAATAGAGCGAAGAATAAGTTTTAGGTAACTTGTAAAAACAGAGCAACGGATTATTGAAAGTGCTCTTCTGATAAAATTCAGTGATGGACATAAGGAACCGCTATTTTCACCTCGTTAGTAACAATTTCGTCCCAGGTAATGAATGTTTTATCTGTTTCTATATTATTAGAAAATGCATTCAAATTAGTAATCAGCTAATAGGTTGCTTGTAAACCAATTTCGCATTCAGTTTTAAAGACCCGTGTTTTAAAATGACATACCTCATCTCAGGACAAATTTCATGTGTTGGAATGTCATATCAGAGGCTATACACTTTTTCCAGTGAGATAGCTTGCTTGTCCCGGTTGCCTAAAATTTGGCACTTGAGGCAATGAACTCTTTGGAAGCAGTTTCGCCTCTAACTTGGTCTCAGAAGCATTTCTCACAAAGGACGGTAGCAAGTACTTGAAGAAGTGGTAGTGCTTAGAGATCGACCTATAATGTACGACGGATGAGGCAGAGTTTCGTAGCCCAGGTGATTAAGCATGTGCGGCGTTGGTAGTGTAACGTGTGGTTAGATGTTATCGTGGAGTGGGATTGGTCCCTTTGATCAGTGCGGAATATTTGAAGTTTCTGGTGCATTTTGTCGACTTGCTGGACCTACTTCTCAGTAGCACCTGAATTTCACCTGAATTCAGGATGCTGTGGTGGGGTAAATCACCTCTAAACAGCCAAACAGTGAGAATGACCTTTTTTGTTATAATTTCTGTTTTAGAAACTGCTTTGGGAGCTTCTTCATAGCCCAGGCACTGAGCCAGTTGTCGAAAGTTATCATAGAGAATCCATTTTTCGTCATACGCCACTATATATTCTAGAGACGAATCGTTCTGCTTGGACAGATGAAGCGACGACGGTGCCTCAAAATGGGGGTGTCCGAATTTCTACTTTTTTAAGACACTCCGAATCGTTCGAAGTGGTTATAATCACGCTAGCAGTGAGTTCTTCTCCAAGTTCCTGACCAGTTTCCTGTGTATTTTCTCACACCGAAGCCTTCAATTCATCGTTTTCAATAGCAGGTGGACGTCCACGTCCATCGTTAAGGTCGAATTCGCCACCACGAGTGCGCTCCTTAACAGTTCAGTAACACAGTCCCATGCATCTTGCGTTTGCGCTGCCCTATAGCGGAGTTTGAATTCGTGGAAGTAGATCTGCTGAAATTACTATTTTGACATCTGAAATTTTAGGCGGTAAAATTTTTCAGCAGCACAAATCGTATTATGAAATCTGTTAAGGAAGAACCTTATATGAAAAGATCGGCCGAAGACACTTCAGAGAAGTGCAGCGCTTCCAACTATAACGCCACTCATGATAAGGCAAGTCTTCAAATTTCATACAGAGAGGTTTCGGTTTCGGTAGGAATAGAAACAATGATTTAGCAATAAGTGATAGTCCCGTATTCCAGTTTATAAGTATTCAATGCGTTTTTTCTTTTCGATCGTCTCTTGAAGATTTGAGAGAGCAATTTGACGGCACTTCTATTGTGCAATAGGATTAACTTTCCATCATAAGTTCAAAAACGGTTTTTCTTTGGTCAAGATAGATTTTATATGCAAACTGTATTGAAGTTGGAAGCTCTTTTAAAATGAGAAGTCACTAGCAACATTACTGTAATCGGAAATTGTAGTTGTAACTTACTGTTTGTAAGGGAAGAAGTCATAACTGATTTGACTATATCGAAAGACGTCTAAGGAACTCTTTAAGTGTGCACTTCTGTCACATACCATAGAAGATGCAGAGCCGATGGTGTTAACAAGAGATAGAAGGAAATTCTGGGAAGAATTATAAATTTGGTAAGTGATTTTTTTTCTGAAGTGGGTTCAGATTTTATTTAATTGTTCGCTTCAGGAAGCAACTATAGTTTATACATGAATTTTTTATCTCAGGTATCCCATGTAATGGATAAATTCATATGGCAAAATGGACATGAAGCCGAGTATCGACCAGTGAATCAAGTGGAAAATGAAGAGACACGTAATGAACGACCATGTTCATCAGCTCGTGATGTAGTGAGT